TACAGTGTGTCCAGACATAAAGAATCAGTGGAGAGATATTTGGGATGTTTCTCTGCTAATACAACTATAATTACAACAACATTAATGAAACACATTTGTTTAATATAACTAATATTTTATTTAAATTGAACTGTAACAACTAAAATAAAAACCAGACACAATTTGATATTTTTGTGCAATTATAGGGACAACAAGAGTGTGATGGGCCCACATTGTGTAATGGATTACACCAGAAACGCATTAACAAATTAAACAGAATCATATCAAAGCTCTACAGATTCTGCTTTGAGCTTGTATAGAATACAGTTATTGGAAGAGCATGAATCGGGAGAGGCTGTTTCACACCATATAAAGAGCTGGCATTGAACTTGATGGGCCCAATAGACTCCACAGATGGCTTACATGATATGTCATTTGATTAGAAGAATCCTTCTGTGGTGTTGAAATTGGACATTAAGGGGCAAGATATATTGCAGTTCTTTTTTGACTTGTTGGTATTATACACTCATCAGCCACACATTAAAACCGCCTGCCTAATGTAGGTCACCATCTTTCTGCTAAAACAGCGCTGATACATTGAGGCATGGTCTCCACAAGACATCTGAATGTGTTCGGTGATATCTGGCACCAAGACATTAGCAGCAGATCCTTTAAGTCATGCAAGGTGTGAGATGTAACCTTAAATGGATCAAATTTGTTGTTCCAGCACATCCCATAGATACTTAATTGGATTAATATCTGGGGAATTTGGAGGCCAAGGCAACTACTTGCACTCTTTGTCATGTCCCTCAATGCATTCCTAAACATTTTTTGCAATGTAGCAGGGTACATTATCCTGCCTAAGAGGCCACTGCCATTAGGGAACACCATTGCCATGCAGGGTTGCACATGGTCTGCAACAATCTCTAGGTAGTTGGTAACATCCACATGAATGTTAGGACCCTCGATTTCCCAGAACACTGCCCAGAGCATTCCACTGCCTCTGCCTTCTTCCCATAGTGTTGCCATCTCTACCCCAGGTAAACAATGCACACGCATGCAGCCATCCACCTGATCTAGAAGAAAATGTTATTCATCAGACCAGAAACCTTCTTCCATTGATCCATGGTCCAGTTTTAACACTCATGTCCCCATTAAAGGTACTTAAGGAGGTGAACCGGAGTCATCAGGGCACTCTGACCAGTCTGCAGCTATGCATCCCCATACACAGCAAACTGCAATGCATTGTGTGTTCTGACACCTTTCTACTATAGCCAGCATTAAGTATTTCAGTCAATCTACATTGACTCTTCTCTGCGATCAGACCAGAATGCTAGACTTCGCTCCCCTCGTGCACCAATGAGCCTCAACCCTTATGCTAGCTCACCTGTTGTCCTTCCTTGCACCCCTTTTGGCAGGTACTAACCACTGCATATCAGGAACACCCCACTCTTTTTTAGAGATGCTCTGACCCAGAAGTCAACCCTTCACTATTTAGCCCTTGTCAGAGATACTCAGATCTTTTCACTTGCCCATTTTTCCTGTTTTCCACTAATGAAATTTAGAACTGACTGTTCACTTGCTGGCTAATATAACCCACCCCTTGAAAGATGCAATTTTAATGATATAATTAAAGGACCACTCTAGGCACCCAGACCACTTCAGCTTAATGAAGTGGTCTGGGTGCCAGGTCCTTCTAGGGTTAACCCATTTTTTCATAATTATAGCAGTTTCAGAGAAACTGCTATAATTATGAATGGGTTAAGCCTTCCCCCTAATCCTCTAGTGGCTGTCTCATTGACAGCCACTAGAGGCGCTTGCGTGCTTCTCACTGTGATTTTCACAGTGAGAGCACGCCAGCGTCCATAGGAAAGCATTGTAAATGCTTTCCTATGAGACTTGACTGAATCTTGTGCCAGCTCTTGCAGCGTCGCATTCAGCGGCGGCGTAGGAGGAGGGGAGGAGGAGAGCTCTCCGCCCAGCTGGAAAAAGGTAAGTTTTTACCCCTTTCCCCCTTCCAGAGCCGGGCGGGAGGGGGACCCTGAGGGTGGGGGCACCTTCAGGGCACTATAGTGCCAGGAAAACGAGTATGTTTTCCTGGCACTATAGTGGTCCTTTAATGTTATTCATTTCACCTGTCAGTGGTTTTAACATTGTGACTGATCAGTGTGGAGATGCACACAGTGGACAGCTATGTCTACTTAAAGCATCTTAATGCCTTATTTACCCCAAGTTGTCACTGGCTTATACAGCTTAATCAGCTCAGATGGACGAGTATGACGATGGAAGAGAATGAGACCCTTGGTGAAGAGACCACATTTTTTTCAGTCATGTGTCAAGGACATTTTGAACTAAGTTCACTTACCAAGTAGGTTTTCACTTCTGTTATGGAGATCTGGAAATTCTAGTTCTTATTAACAGACAACAAAACAGAAGAATATTTCCAACAAGAACTCCATCAAATCAAAAATAGCCTGTTGATTTAGCCGATCTAGAAAAGATAATGTTTCTGTAAACTTTTACTGGCTCAGAGGGAGAGAGAAGACAATAAAAAGGAACGATTTTGCAGGAGCTGCAGCAGGTGTGATCCCACCAGCTTTAAATTCTGTCTTGACCTGTAGTGGAAATTGTGGAAATGCTTCATTTGGAGCCTGGTGCCGTTTTTGACATAAAGCATCTAATTCTAATTTTAATCGTTCCACCAGAGCCAGATTACTCATTAGGCGACCAAGGCTGGTAGGTCTCTATCTGGCCTGGAGCTCGGGCTGTGGGTGTAAGGGCGCCCTGTGCCCCCTCACTTTATTAAAGGATCATTGTGGTCTCCCTCAGCAAATATTAGGTAGAGACCACTCTAAGAGCACCCTTGTGGTCCACTGTAATCTGTATCTGATATTGGTAAAGCATATGGAGTTCTCCCATACTAAAAGGAATCAAGCTCACCCTTGACTGAACCACCAGTAACATGCTCAAACTCCCCATCACACACAAATTCAGTCACTACACACAACATTCAACCAGCACACACATACACACTCAACCCCCTCAATTAGCCTTCTCACACAACACACAGCCAATACACACTCTCTCACAATACTCACAGAAATATTGCCCAGCACTCCAGGAGTGGGGCCCAATCTGGCACCCTGCCAAGGGTCGCAGGCAACCTAAATCCTGCTCTGGCTTCTGCATATGGTATCTAGCTAAAGAATGGTGGAAGTTGTGTGTTTAGTTTTATAGTGAATATCTTCATTGAAGCAAGTTCCATGTATTCATGGTTTTAAGGAAAGACGTTATCTAGACAGTCACTGTTCTCTCCAAATGGCCTTTCCATATTGGACAAGCCTGGCAATATTCAGCTTGCACTAATATATTATTTTCTAAGCATAATTACCAAAAATCCTTAACTAAGTTGATAAAGTATCCAAATTTGAACCTCTTAAATGACTGACATAGTTAACAGTCTTGTCTTGATGAAATTTGTGAGTATCAATGATCCTGCCAAGTAATCCAGCAAACAATATGTAATTTGTTTTTCTTCTCAGACCGTCTGCCATCATTGGAAGGATCTGCAACTTTCCAGGCTACTTTGCTGACATCGGAATCTATCACAGTGCCTAGAATCATACCAAAGGTGGTATTTTCATTTCTTTTCTCCGAGTGTTTTGGTCTCCAAGCCACCAAGTTAGTTCCTCTTGAGTTTCTTGGTCTCATGACATTTTTCAGAACAATATAGGCAGAGACATATAATTGTGGACTTATTGTAGGGCTCAGTAGAGGAATGGTCTTGGAAACATCACAGATGATAAACATCACAGATGATAACACTAAACCAATTATTCTGGCCAAATCTCTCAACAGAATGTGTGATTAGTTCAAGGTTTGCCAAATCATATATTTGTTAAAAGATCAACTGATCCAATGAGGATGCTCCATCAGAGGCATAACTTACTGTGAAATGAAAAAGAATATTGCCTAGATTATCTATCATATACTGGTGGTTACTGTGTTTAGTGCGCTTATAGAAATAATAAAGTGGTATAGAAGCAGCTGCACACTCTAGTGGGTGCTCTCTATCCCCCACTCAAATATAAAAGTAAAGCACAGTAAGACCTGTATAAAACAAATTTTACACAATAGCGTACAAAACACACAAAGTGTGGGGGTGGTAGTAGAAGTAACAGTGCAACTCCACAGTGTTTTAAAACCACTTAAAAAACACAGATAACATACAAGTAAAAGATAGAGATAGAGGAGTGCAAATACAAATGTATATGGTATACTTAGAGACACTGGTCAGTCCTTCAGATGTAACCTATATACAAAAAGATCCAAACATAGCATAATACTGTTTTTCCAAATAATATAGTAAATAGATGTGGATTTTTCACTCACACTTTGCAGAGCCACGTATAGTAGGCTCTGACTATAGTTGCTCTTTGATAATTCCCTGGTGTATTAAACTCCACCACGCCTTCAGAATTCTCCACTCAGATTTCTAAGTGTACATTTTCTGATCCATCAAGTGACCAAGTAATTCACACCATTAGACTGTATATTCCTTCATAAATTCTGCATTTTTATGAAGGAATATACAGTCTAATGGTGTGAATTACTTGGTCACTTGATGGATCAGAAAATGTACACTTAGAAATCTGAGTGGAGAATTCTGAAGGCGTGGTGGAGTTTAATACACCAGGGAATTATCAAAGAGCAACTATAGTCAGAGCCTACTATACGTGGCTCTGCAAAGTGTGAGTGAAAAATCCACATCTATTTACTATATTATTTGGAAAAACAGTATTATGCTATGTTTGGATCTTTTTGTATATAGGTTACATCTGAAGGACTGACCAGTGTCTCTAAGTATACCATATACATTTGTATTTGCACAGTAAGACCTGTATAGACTGGACAAAAGCCCAGACCGTACTGATCAGATGAGTGGAGCGCTATCTATCATATACCCCTACTTCCCAGAAATGATGAAACTGGCCTATTAATTTGGTGAAAGAGGGGCGGAGCCTAGCTTCCAGGCTGAGCAGACATGCCAATCCCAAGCTCCTGACGAAACTCACTACTTTGGGGAAAATACCCTAGAAAATCAACACACCTGCAATTTGGAGTGCTACAGTTGTGCTGGGGTAACCCAGGTGAACTCTGGACACCAGACTCATCGTTATATCCAACCGGGAACCCAGAATCATCTGCTGAGGCCTACCGGGGATCGAGCAGGGGAGAGGCAGCCGCTCTCCTCGCTTGCAAACTGGCACAAAACTCAACTCTCCATTCTCCTACCTCTCTCCCCCCCCCATCCCCTTTGGACCGGCAGGGGATATCCCGGTCCTCATTGGGCACCCGGAGCAACCCGTCCGGATCGAACTCAAAGTATCAGTGGCACTTTCCCCACAAGGCACACACAAGATGTTGGCTGAACGCTCGCTACATATGCTGAGCCAGCTCCCAAATCAAATGCACCTTCATGATACCACTTTGGATATCATGTAGCGCCTAGAGGAATTGTTCAGTTGCTTCTGGGAGAGGCTTCGGAGACGCAAGCAGGAAGCCCAGATCGAGCAGCAAGACTCCCCAGAAGCGGGGAGCGAGGGGTACACCCACCAATGCTCACTCTCCCTAGCCCACCTGGGCTGAAAGCCAAGAGGGCTTTGATCCAACAGCATCGCTTACACTGGCGGTGGCCCACATGCCGCAAACGGCAGTAAACCACCAAGCCCTCCGCCACTCCCACACGAGGAGGAAACTCGGGCTCTGGAAGCCTCCGAATTTGTGGCCAAGAGATGCAGGCCTACACACCTGCCTGGGGCTGGATGGACACCCTCACTCGCACCTGTATGGCAGCGGTCCACCAGCAGGATTTAGATGCCTCCCGACAGAGGGAATCGGATGAGAGAGATAACCACACACAGACTTTCTCATGACAGGAGCACTCTCTCCACCATGTTCCTGTGCATATAACTCAGCCACAATGCCTCCTATAACCATGACCATAATGCTAAGAGTCTAGAGGGGTTTTCCCCTACAGCCCTGGACCACAGTGAATTGTAATCTTCAGAGTAGCCAGTTATGTTTTATAGAATCTTATTACCCGCATGACCGGTAAACCAGACTCATAGCATCCTTGTACACTGCATGTCTAGCCCAGCTCATTTCTCTATCAACTGTATCCAGAGTTCACGATACATAATCAGAGTGTTTGTCCAAACAGTTTCTACCTATGTCAACATGTTCACTTACTCTAACATCCTGAAGTTCATAATGTGCAATTTACAAGACTGTACCAGGCTACCGATATCAGCATGTTTAAGCACATTTACCATCTCTAGCATTAATCAACATAGCTACTGTGTTATTGTTTACATTATAAAACTGTGCATGTCTCTCCTTTTACCCCAAATGTAATGCATGACAATGAGCCTGTATGTACAGTTCCTATGCACTGCAAAAATAAAAAATGTAAAAAAAAAAAAAAATTTTAAATTTTAAATTTGGTGAAATACCAAAGAGTTGATGTAAGAACGGAATTGCCATTTTATTTCAAACCTATAATGAAGTGCAGAGGTTGACAAAATTTATTTTCAGTCAGAATAGTCAGGTCAGCTCCTTTCATAACTGTATTTGCATTCTAATCTGAATGTGATCACTATACTGGGGTAGTCCACACTAGAAAACAAGGACTAGTAACCCCTCAATGTCATGTAGTCAAAAGAAAAAGGTGGTTCAGGCACCCAATCAATTCAAGCAGATTTATTGGATGTGAACAGACATTGCAATGCCTGTTTATGTTCAATAAAGATCCTTGAATTGATGGAGTGCCTGGACCACCTTTTTCTTTTGACTGTATCAGGAGTAGGCAACTTTTGGCACTCCACACATTGTGAACTACATCACCCATAATGCTATAATGATGGCAAAGCATCAGGGAAAATGTAATCCACAACCTCTGGAATGTTGAAAGGTGCCTACCACTGAACTATAATGTGAAAAATATAATCTTTACACACATCTCTGTCCAGCAATACAACTTGCAGGATGCAAACACTCTATCAAAAGGAATATAATACCTAGAATATTTTTTATGTTACAAAGAGTCACTCACAGAAATTTAAACAGATTGCAAATTTTTGCAGATTGGCCTGCAACCTTCTAAACTGACCAAAACTAACAAGGGGTCAGAGGATATCCCATTTATACTTCTAATATCTAGCCGCCGCGCAGTTAGAGCAAATAATACATTGGCATGCACCACCTGATAGCACCTAGAGTCCCTCTTATGGGAGTAGTCCACCCACAATTTTATAATTGTGTACCCAAGACACAGATAGCCCTTTTGTGAACAGCATGCCAGGCTATATTAAATTTCTGTCAAATATGGAATAAATTTGACACACTAAGATCCTCACCCTTTCCAATGAACCCCATATCTATAAAACAGAGCATTCCCACATGGAATGAGACCCAGGGACTTCAGTGGTATAGAGGAAACAGGGCTATATATTTTCTTACAAATGTATGAAGAAAAAGATGATAATATGCTTATCAGAAGTTCAACAGGCAGCTTACTAAACACCTGGTGACTACTTTAGGTTAAGGCAAATGAGAGACTTCCCGACACACCCAGAGGTAAAAAGGAGCCAACACCTCCTTAACTTTCTATGAAAATCTTTGCTGGAAAGAAATATGCTTTACCTCTAGTGAATGGGATATACTCAAATATGGAGACCGGTGAAAAGCAGATCTGGGAGAGGTGTTGGAAGAAGGAGAATGGTAAGGCATGTGTTAAGTCATCCATTTGTGTCTCCCTCCAAGAGCAGTTCTTTAAAACTGGGCTTAGCTGGTATACTACCCTTGTCAGTTCTTTCAAATGCGTAGGACCACCAAAACAAGGGAACCATGGCGGGGGGGGGGGATGATTAGAGAACCAGTACGGAAAAAGAATAGACATGAAGAGAATGGGTTCAAGGTGTGGGAGTGCATGCGTAAACATGAGTGTATGGAGACCCCCCCCACCCCTACCAAGACTTAATTTATTTTATCTCTTTGAAACTTATCTCAATTTCCGTTGTATATTTTTTTTTTATGTTGATTATTGTTATAATGATACAGAGTAATCACAGGCTGTTACATACTCAATCTTTATGTATTGTATGGTAATCAGCTGAAGCATATGTCACTGTCATATACTGTTGCCTATTAACAAATAAAGAAATTTAAAAAAAAATAATTACAGGCTGCAAAAAGTCAGAAATTATATGGCAAAAAAATGCCATTGCAAAATTTGCCACATCCAAGATGGCATAGGTTGGTGTGTGTAGGGGGATACAATGTGTGTGTGTAGTGCACTGGCGGATCCAGGGGGCTAATGCAGGGCCACTCATACATACACTGCCCCACACACACACTGCCCCCACAAACACACACAGACTGCCCCCACACACACACACACCGCCCCCCACACACACATACACTGCCCCACACACACATACACTGCCCCAATACACACACTTCAAAAACACACTCCCAAATAAACACACTTCCCCCACACACACACACACTGCCCCCCACACACACACTGCCCCCACACACACATACACTGTCCCCCTTATACACACACACATACACTTGCCCCCACACACATATACACTACCCACCCATACACACACACATTGCCACACACATATACACAGCCCCCCATACACACATTGCCCCACACATACACAGCCCCCCATACATTGCCCACACACACACACACACACTGCCCCCCATACACTCATTTCCTCACACACCCTACACATTCACACACTTCAACCCCCACACACATACACACACTGAACCTTTCACACACACTGCACCCCTCACACATTGTACCGCTCACACACCACTGCTCCTATGCCCTACTACAGCCCGATATCTCAGCAGACCCCAGGTAAGTTGTCAAACTGTTCTTAAACGGTTTGACTACTTAATCTGGGAGGGGGTCCCAGCACTCCCGGCACCATAACAACTACACAGAGCCTTAGTGGTAATTGTGCATGGATTATTTATTTAAATAATCTACAAGTGTTCCATCCAAGATCAGACTCTAGATCCCCCACTGGAGTAGTGGCTATAGTGTGCATGCGAATGTGTGGGATATGATGTATTGGGGGTTAGAAAAGGATAAATTTTAAAAAAACAAATCATCATTCTTATTTAAAAAAAATAAAACTTATTCCACACTCTGCTTCTTACCTTATGTCATCAAAGGGGATATTCAAAACTATGTTGATCCAGTGGTTCTATACTCTAGTCTGCTTCTCCAATAGATGCAGACTGCGTAAATGCCACTTGCGAGCCCCGGCACTGAACAGTGCCAGAGCGCAGTGGCAGAACTAATGTAGAGAGGGCCCTGGTGCAAAAGATTTTTTTGGCCCCCTCTAGCGCAAGGATGGCTAAAAGGTAAATCCATAATGCTTTGCCAGCTGGAGTTCTACCATTTCCCCATCCTTTCAGGATTGTATTTGTTAGCAGTGTATGTGTGTTTTTGAATGTAGTAGTGTGTTTGTATGTTGTGTTGGCATTTGCATGCAGTTGTGCATTTGTGTGTAGTGTTGGCCTTTTTAATGTTGGTGTGCATATCTATGTAGTGTTCGCATTTGAATGCAGGGGTGTATTTGTGTATTGTGTTGGTGTTTGAATGCCTAGATGCATTGACATATACCTATGAACTTCCACACACAGATACACAAATATACTGACATAAATACACAGACACACACATAATGACACAGATACACATACAGACTGGCACACATATAGGTACACACATACTGACACAGATACATGAATTGACACACGTACGTACAGACTTACATACAAACTAACACACACAGATACACTCATATACTAACAAAGATACACATGCACACTATATAGTGAGATATACACAGATACATAAACACTTACACATACTCACACTGCTGGAAACAAATACTGACACATACAGACCCATACTAACATGTATACAGACCCATACTGACACAGATACACACAAATACATGACCTATAAACACACAGTGGCCCACACAAACACAGTGACCCTCTCCACATACACCGTGACCCCCCACACACACACACACACAGTGTGGCCCATACACACATAGTAACCCCCACATAGACAGTGATCCCCCTAAACACAAAGTGACCCCCACACACATACAGTGGCCCCCCTACACACACACTAGCCCATACATATGCACAGTAGCCTATACACACTCACATTGACTCATGCAGTCCTACCTTTAGTGCAGGATTATTCACATGCAGTTTCTGACATTCCAATCTAACCTACTCTCTCTCTTCTGCAGCCGGGATGACATTATAGGGCCCTTGTAAAGGGAGCCGATAGGCCCTGCGCTTCTGCCTGTGCCGCCTACTCCCTCCCGCGTGGCTCTCTATTTATACTGGGAGGAAGTGATCGTTGTCACTTTCTCCCAGCCGACACTCACAAAAGGGGCCCGGTTGCGGTCTTATAGGCCATCACATCTGACTGGGCTATTGTTCAGAGAGAGCGTGTGGGCCTTGGTGCAGCGGTAGTTCTGCCACTGCCATTGTAATCCGCAGCAAACCTCTGATAGGCTGAAGGTTGCAGGAATTGTAGGTGTGGACATGCAGGCAATCTGACCTACTCTCTCTCTTCTGCCGCCGGGATGACGTTATAGGGCCCTTGTAAAGGAAGTCGATAGGCCCTGCGCTTCTGCCGGTGCTGCCTACTCCCTCCCGTGTGGCTCTCTATTTAAACTGGGAGGAAGTGATCGTTGTCACTTCCTCCCAGCCGAAACTCACGAAAGGGACCCGGTTGCGGTCTTATAGGGCCATCACGTCTGACTGGGCTATTGTTCAGAGAGAGCATGTAGTCCTCGGTGCAGCGGTAGTTCTGCCACTGCCGTTGTAATCCGCAGCAAATCTCTGATAGGCTGAAGGTTGCAGGAATTGTAGGTGCCGACATGCAGGCAGAGCCTACTGCAGCAAGGATACTTTGGGCTAGCAAAGGAGATCTCCATCACTGGCCAATGAATGCACACAGCAAGGCCCACACTTGGATAGCGTTGGCCCTGCATGAGCCAGCACTGGTGATTCTTTGATTATCTCTGTCAGCCTCGTCCCACTGCTATCATTTGCCCAGTTGGGCCTGGCCCCCTGACCTCGAACACCAACACTTTTCTTCTCTTGACAGTAAAGAAAGTTGTAAACATAATATAAGCAGTAGTGTCTTGTTAATTAATTCCTGATCACGTCCTGTTCTAGTATGGTCAAGTTACGGGAAGGACATGTACCTTGAAAATGCTTGAAAACTATAAATAATGAAAAAACACCACACCAAAGACAAGAAGACATATATCTTTAGCCAAAGAAGCTTCTTCCAAAAGTCCCACCCAAGGTTATAAAGTTCACAGTCCCAAAGCACTGTGAATCATTCGGCAATCAGAGGTCCAACAGCACTACTCACAATAGCAAGAGATAAAAATATGTTATCCTGTATTGAATTCCCATATATGTCAGGCACACCAAGAAAATGCCTAACAAAGTACATCACAGACCAAAAAGTTTCACATCTTATTGGTTTCCTCCCAACGCTGAAATCACTGGTAACAGATAACATAATTTATATTATGCAACATATTGCAAAACATTTTAGGTTTTTAATCACACAATATTTCTGCCTCTTTCTACTGTACTGGAAATTTTCTCTTCTTACAAAAAATGTGTATGGAGAGAGAAGCATTTCTGCCGGGGTCCCTCATGCTGCTACTGCAGTGCTCTACTGACTATGGATACGTGGAGGGCGCATCAGAGGTACTCCTTAAAATATCACTATTAAAATTTTGAGCATTGTATGTCTAAAGACATCAGAATCGTTACAGCTCTTTCTATAATTCTTCAAGTACATGATATAATTCTTCAAGTAGAGTACTAATAACTATTACATACTCCTACTCCAATGTACGTGTGCCTCTATCAATACTCTACAAACAGGTGGACCAAATCCCTTAGATACTGTACAGTGTAAGGCAAGCATGTCAAACTCAAAGGCTAGCACGGGCCACATAGACAAGGTTTAAGTTTATGTAGGCCGCAAAGAAAAACAACCTTAAAGGACCACTCTAGGCACCCAGACCACTTCAGCTTAATGAAATGGTCTGGGTGCCTGGTCCAGCTAGGGTTAACCCATTCTTTTATAAACATAGCAGTTTCAGAGAAACTGCTATGTTTCAGAGAAACTGCTATGTTTATAAATGGGTTAAGCCTTCCCCCAAAGCCTCTAGCGGCTGTCTCATTGACAGCCGCTAGAGGTGCTTGCGTGCTTCTCACTGTGAAAATCACAGTGAGAGCACGCCAGCGTCCATAGGAAAGCATTGTGAATGCTTTCCTATGCGACCGGCTGAAAGTGCGAGGAGGAGAGCTCCCTGCCCAGCGCTGGAAAAAGGTAAGTCTGTACCCCTTTCCCCCTTCCAGAGCCAGGCGGGGGGAGGGG